AGGAATTTTGTTTTAATTCGTAACTAATTATTAAATAAATAATCTGAAACCTGCTTCGATAAACAAACGTTCAACAGAATTGTAGGGTATTGTAATTCATTTAGAAAATGTTTCATAAAGGTCCAGGTATTTAAATCGATTTTATTGCGATAAGGATTACAGTCAATAAGAAACTTGTGAAAAAGTAAAAGATTTTCCATCGCCTCTGAAACCCTGAATTTCCTCCTAGTTGAGAAACCATGTGTTAGAAATTAATCGATGTATTTTTATCTTTCTGTACTGTAAAACAGTAATAAGTGTTAATAGAGGTGTGTGTGCGTGAGTCTGTCCACCCACGAGATTATATATGAATAACGAGGCGAATAAAAAGTGTATTTCAGTAAAAACAATGCGATAGTCTCATGAAAACCAGCTTTGTCTACAAATTCTGACGGCTACATAGTTGTAGACAGTAGTTTTTGAAAGTAAGAAATTAGATTCAGCTTGTTTCCTCGTGTTTAATGAAATAAGATCAGCCTAGACAAAATAGCTTCCGGCGTTTTTCTTTTTAGATATTTTCTTGCGATAATATTCTACACTGTTGTTGTTGTTGTTGTTCTTCTTCTTCTTCTTCTTGTTCTTGTTCTTCTTCTTCTTCTTCTTGTGCAGTTCGCATTCAGGGCATTGGCGACCATAATTTCCTGTCCTTTATAGCTCTTAGTAAATTTCGTCTTTTTGTTATCTCTCCTAAGCCCGATCCCACCTTCCATTTACTTAAGCTCGCTAGGTAGGTTACGCGCTGTTTTTCTTTGTCCTTCTTGTCGTCAAACTGTCCTGTGAGTGTCAAATTCTCCAGGCCCTCTTTCCGCATTATGTGCCCTAAAAATTTCAACTGTCTTTTTCTGATGTTAAGTGTTTCTTTTTTTGGTTTTTCTCTATATTTCTAGATGAGGTAACTATTTACACTACTGACATGATACATGACCCAGTGGATAAAAGTGTTGTTTGATTGAGCGAAAAATTGACTTGACCCAAAGAGTTGCGTGTTCAATCACTGGCCTCAACCGAGAGAACAAAAACTTGGAGTGTTATCAAGGCGAATTAACAAAAACTGAGATATTCAAAGGCATGGCATGTGGAATTAGAACAACCTACCCCCACCATCATGGACTAAATAAAGTGTTCGGTTCGAAATTTCTACAAATATCAGCTGAAGAAGGGAGGAGTGTACAACGGCCGAAGCATCGTGATATTAACAATAAAGATGAGGATAACAGTCCGCACAAAATAAAAAAAAATGTTTTTTTTAACATTTTCTCTAAAACTTCATTGATGCTCACATATTCAGCCCAAGGTATTATTAGCATTCTTCTCTAGAAGCACATTTCTATCAAATTTCTTCTTCATCTGTGTAGATACTATGAACAGAACATGTGAGAAACAACAAAGCTTTAGAAAAAATCGAAACAAAATGGCACTTATACTCCTAAGGTACAGTATGCGGAAAGAAGGCTTGTAAAATTTGACACTCACAAGATAAACTGAAGGCAAGAAGACAAAAGTAAGCAGCGCGTAAACTACCTGGTAAGCTTGTGCAAATGGTTGGCAGAACAGGGATTAGGAGAGATAGCAAAAATATAAACTTTTCTACGAGCTACAAAGAACAGGAAATCGTGGAGAGCCGTGATAGCCCATGCTCTATATAGTCATGCTCGCCGATACTCTATATAGCCAACCTTGTTAATTCCCAAACATGACAAGCAACATGTCTGGGTTATTTGAATTGCAACGATTGTTAATCAGTACACTTTACACGGAACACTAAGCAGGAGAAAATTTGAGATTTGCCTTACGGGTGCTTTCTTGAAACTCAACATATTCCCAGCTCGACTAGATTCTGATTGGTGCTTGTCGCGTACACGTCTTGACATTTAGTTCCCGCCAAAAAGTATCGTAATTGGAGATGCAGTATTTCCGGTGTCAGCAGACGATGGTGGGGCAAGGGTAGAACGAATTTATATTGAAAAAAAAATGGCGCAAATCTTTTTACGTCTTGATTTTATCAGTCCATGAAAGGCAGAAGGTAGACGTTAGAAAGCAGATATGAAATAAGACTGATGGCGAAAATAATAATTTTAATCTAGATTCATGCCATGTTATTTATATTTCTAAAATCAAGAAACGTTTCTGTAATGTAAATAAAATAAAGAAAGTAGTAAACGATATGATGTCGCAAAGAGTTTTTGTGCACGCACACGCATCGATATATATATATATATATATATATATAAGGATATTATATCGAAGGCATGTCAAAATTGCACAAAATTGCAGTCGTGTTTCGATGCGTTTTCAAATGCATCTCATATATATATATATATATATATATATATATATATATATATATATATATGAAGAAATATTAGTTTTATGGCATGCGAAAAGTGCATGTCAAAATTATAAAAGTGATTGAAGTCAACACACTACAAAATTGCTCTTAGCAGTCGACTGTTTCGATGCGTTTTATATAAATATATATATATGAAAATTTTATACCTCATCTGACGAAGTTAAATGACGAAATGCGTAACTATATATATATATATATATATATATATATATATATATATATATATATATATTGATAGACATATTTTCTGGATTTATCTGTATGAAGAAAAATAGTATTTTTATGGCATGCTATAATTTAATAATAATAATAATAATAACAATAAAATAATATTTTACATGGATGACTCAAAATTGTATCAAATGATGAGCTGGAAGGTCTTCTGCAAACTGTGCTTCATTGGAATGAAATATAAAATGTGCTAAAGCTACAGTTTTAACACTTCCTCTATTAGTTTAGACCCTGCTGTAAACAACAATAAAAGATTTAAACACACAGTACCTAGGTGAAATGACTGTTTCATACTAAATTAAAAACGCAATCATCAGAACAGAATTGCTCTTAGCCATCCCAGTGGTCCAACAGTTTCAACATCTTGAACTGGACTCTAAATGACATCAGACAAATGGATTCTAAAACAAAAAAGCTTCTTTCTAAGTATAATGTTCATCCAAAAGGCTGATGTAGACTCTATATATGGAAGAGGTCTTATTCATATATATATATATAACTTATAAACAACAAATGACTGGATGAAAAAATTTTAAACAACATGAAAACAGGAAAAAATATTCAATAATAAAAGAAGGCTTAAATATCATTTTTTAATCTAATGAAGTCCAACTATAAAAAGATATGAAAAAGAAAGCCAAAAAGCCCTGAACAGATGAAACAACGCTAACACAAACCTAAATTTTCCAGAACCATTTTAAAGTCATATGGTTCTCTGGATTAAACATTTACATATATATATATATATATATATATATATATATATATATATGAATATAAAAATCGACACGATAGAGTGGGCAATACTGTGTGTGTGTGTGAAACACTGGTTGAACATCGGCCAGAATTAGACATGATTTTCTATTTATACCATCCACACAGACAAATAGTTGAAGCAAATAGGCCGGACATTTCTGGAAAACCAGAAAAAAAACTTGCCTACTATTTATGGTAAGCGGATTTATATAGGTTTGAAAAACTATATCATGAAAGACCTGGAAATTGAAATAGAAAAAATAAATTGAAAAATAATAATAATAATATGCACTTGGAATTATAAAAAATGGAATAAACAACACATTGAAAGAATCCCTGGAAACCCCAGAAGAACATACAGAAAATTGTTCATGTAAGGAGAACTTTGTCTATGTAATGAGTTTCGTGCAATCACATCCTGCCTTTCAGACTTGAGGTAGTATGTCCATAGAGAAATCGTGATGATGATAATAATAATCAAATAATAATGAATAGTTAAGAATTTTCAATCACATCCACTTTTCAGATATGATGAACAAATTTATATATATATATATATATATATATATATATATATATATATATATATATATATATATATATAATATATATATATATATAAACAATATATAAACGATATATCAAGAATAATTTTAGGAAAAACTATGACAACGTGTAAAAATGCTCAGGTGACGCATTTCGTTTTTGTTAAAAAATAATGTGTCAGTTATTTTCGAGGTAAAAATAGGAAAGACGGCAAGTATGGCATTTCATTTTTAATGGACTAAAGTTTGAAATAAACACACACACACACATACATACATACATACACACACACACACATATATATATATATATATATATATATATATATATATATAAATATAATTTCTGTCAGATTTAATCCATTTCATTATATATATATATATATATATATATATATATATATATATATATATATATATAATGAAATGGATTAAATCCGACAGAAATTATATTAAATGTATTTCATATTTTAATTTTTTTAAGCATTTCACACCGAGCAAGGTGAGACAAAAACAAAAAATATACTATCTATCTATCTATATATGAGGTAATATCTAAACGCTTTAAGAATGTGAAAATAAAGTAACTAACATCTTTTTCTTCATTATCTCCTGCAAAATAGTACTTTGCTAATTATTTTGCTAACTAGATGCTAAAATACTGCTCTCCAACGGTTGAGGCAAAAGTCCGTACTATATGTTGTTCGCACGCTTTTCATATTCCCAAACGTTTGGGTACCATCTCACATGCACACACAGACACACACACAGACACACACACACACACATATATATATATATATATATGTATGTATGTATGTATATATATTAAGTGCTACCCGTGTATATAGGTGTGTGTGTGTGTCTGTGTTCAGAATTACTTAAATCCCTAAACGAATTTCATTAAGAACAGTTTCAATTACAAATTACTTAAAGTACTTGAATTAAGGATTTTGGAATGGTTGTAATGTTTGTGAAAGAGGAAGGGAGTGAAGAAATATATGCGTACGTGTGTGTCGACAGGTGTCGATGCTTCTCTAAGACCATATCAGCTTTACTACCAGTTCCTCCTGGCCAAATTACCAGCCACATGGTAGGCAGCAGAAGTGGCATTTTTGCTTGAGAAGAAACACGCCACCCGCAGAGCGTTCGGATGTGTTTATACACTTATACGCGCTTATAGAAAAAACAGTACTTTAAACGACACTGTGGGAATTTGGTTGAAAAATAATGCAAAATATAACACCAGAATTTAATTGGACTATCGAGTTTCCTTGGCAAGCCAATATGCAGCGCTCAATACGGCGATTTTGTTTACAAATGACCTGACATTTGAACCACGCTAACGTTACAGCTGTCTTCATTTTACTTTTAACGAAATAAATTTTTAAACTGTAAGTATGGATTTTCGAATTTTTTTTCAAGATTATGTGTTAAATGACAACGGGATATTTTTTTTTTTTTAAGAAAGAAAAGCCAGAAATAGGTTTTCACCTCCGTAGTAAAGTCTAAGAATAAAGTTTTCTGAGATCCCATGTTTGGAAGAGAAATATCGTATATACTCGTGTATAAACCGACTTCATGTATAGCGCGAACTGAATCCTTTTGCATGAAATTTAACCCTACCAGAAAAAAATTACCTGTGTATAGTGCAACCGGTCACCGAAAATGCATGATTTTAACCTTTTTAACAAAATTACCTGTGTATAGTGCGACCCTCTAGTTTTTGCGTTAAAAAAAAAACCAACAAAAACTGATAATAAAACTTGCACTCTACGGTAAGCAATGCTTTTTCCTGTACTCTTTAACGGAATTAATCAACAATACTCGAAATATATGATATTAATTATTTCCAACTCGTTTAGAATTATCATTTATCAAGCTTAGATTAGTCTGGCACAAGGCTGAAATTATGGAGTACCCAGAGAGGATCGAACTCATTACCTATTAATTATTATGTCTAAATGCTAAACATTACTCCACACGGAGACACTTATATGTTATATACCAATCTTAGCCAAATTTTGGCACAAAGCTAAATGAACACCCGGTGAGAATCTATCTCACTATACAATAATAATGGTCATCCAGACTTGCGTGGTAATCAGTGCTTCAATCAGTTTTTACGACGCGAAGCTAAGTTGATATACAAATTCTCAAGTGCCCCAACTCAGTGAGAATCGAACTCACTACAAAGTAGCAATGGGGAATTAAACGAACTCGCTCACCATTATCTAACAGAGATGTGCTCTAAATATTTACCAAGCTTAGTTTAATTTTGACACAAGGACACAAGAATAGGCACTCGGTGAGGATCAATATAGTAATGGTCATCTCGACTAGCTTGTTTGCCACTAACCTCGCCGAGGAGCCCAAAAATCGTTTGGAATTTATATTTAAAATTGAGCGTTCTTTAATATTGTCGATAATTTCATAAATGTTTATTAATGATGAAGCACTGCATATTTCTCCCATGTTCCCTCCGTGGTACTCTCAGTATCCTTCTGTAGAACCATATCTCTACTGCATCAAGTCTCTTCATCATTTGTAAGGAAATTGTTCAGCATTCACTGTCATATAGGAGGATTGATATTACATAGTAGTTCAGTATTTTCTTTGTTTATAACGAAAATTTCAAGTTTCTTATTACTTTGATTAACTTCTAAGATGCCTCTTTCACCATTTCATTGCACTTTCGAATTTCTCTGTCACATTTCCATCGTCTGTTAAAACATTTCCCAGATATTTAAATTTCTACACTTGCTTTGTTGTGAGATTCCCAGTTCGTAGCTCATATCTTGGATTGCAGCGTGTTGGTAACGACCGTAGATTATGTTTTTTTTTTTAATTGGTGGTTAGTCTTTTCATCCTGTCTTCATTTGATACTTTCTCAAAGATTTGCCCATCACTAATAATTTTTGGTAGAAACTTGTTGTTAGCATCACCTCGCTGCATTGGTTAAATAAATCTATTGAGAAGATACATTCTTGTCTTCCGCTTCTTTATATTTTTGTAATTGAACTAATATCTTCCTCTGCAAATCCATATAATAGGATACATCTATACGTTGATTGCTGATTAGTATATGTATTTATTTGTGAACTTTTGGCCCTGATGAAAGCGTAGTATCTGTTCCTACTTCTTTTGAGATGGGAGAAGACGCCCAGAGCCGGGGATTCCATTCCTACAGCAGCACATTCCTCATTGCACTAAAAGAGTTGGGGACGGTGTATTATCGAAGCCAGTGCGACAGTGGTCGCGGAAACTGGGCAATTGTTGTCCTTGGCACATATGCATGTGTACGTTCCCCACGTAAAAAAAAAACCTTGTGTCAAATCCTGCCATATTAAAGTGGTCAGATAATATACCAAGATATGTATTCTAGGGTACCTCATCATGGTGTAAGCGGTAGTGAGTTAATCTTGCCGTCCACTAATAAGTTACAAGTTCTATCCCCATCGGGTGCTCAAACGTGCGGCTTTGTGGCAATATTAAATTAAGCTAATTAAATGACTATTTTTCGAAGACACAATGTAATGGCTAACAAGCTTGTCTTGCAATCGTTACGATTGAGCTGAACCACTTATGCTTTTTGTCATAACTAAGCTACGTTTAGCAGATAATAACTCGAAGATTTTTCATGGCTAACGAGTTTAGGAAATCCTTGCTGTGGTCGAGTTGTTAGATGGTTAGCGTTCGAACCATGAGACCCAGATTCTCATTTCAACATTGTACGATTTGTCCACGATTCAAGCGTGCAGCACCATTTGTGAAGTGTATGAAAACCAAACCATGGGTTGACCAAAGTCTTGTGAGTGAAATTGGGTAGACAAAGCTGTTCAGATGTCGTCGCAGGTTGTGTTATCTCGAAGTCACAAGTTACGATAACAAAGAGTTTGCACTGGTCTTGTTCCACTGCTGATCACGTCAGAGCTCTGCAGCGTTGGAGGATAAACCACAGGCTGGCTCTCTTTGGGCGTTGAGGAAACAAATGCCTCTGAGCAGGCGTTCGAGCTAGCCACTTCATATGCGTATAAATGCGCGTCAGGTAATTGAGAACAAATTATCAAACAGAAAAAAAAATCAGTATAATTTCAAAAATATATTGCTAAAACATATTCAGCCTAGAAAGATGGGAAAATGGTCATTAAATAAAATGACCCCTAGTATTAAAGACACCCACGGGAGCAATTGCATGCCAGAAAGAAGTGGTTCTCGTTCCTGTTGGTTATCAAGTCTATAATAGCAAACTTCAACGAGTTCTTTGTGTACTGTGTCCATTAGTTGTTTGTTTTTTCTTCTTCTTTACGATACCCCAGACGTATTAGTCCAAGGGATTCGAATCATAGTTCAAAAGCCACATTTTGTGGTTGATATGCTCATTAAATTCTCAGCCAAACGTTACTGGGTCATATGGACCAGGTTAGTGGAAGTGGGTTCCTTTTGACGCAAATATAGCCACTCTGCAATCCAGAATTTGACTGCCCTGTTCAAGATTTTGGTGTAGCCAGTGGCATTGAATCCGAGATCCTGTGGGAGAAATGGTACGGTGTCATATAGCTCGCGTTACACACGACCTGCAGGACAATCCCTGATGGCATGAACTTAATACTCATCACCAAGGGTACCTGCGTGTGATCCACACAGAGCTACCTGCCATTCCGACAGTTCCTCTAGCCAACTTCAAGAAGCTATCTTTGATTCGCCGTTGTTGGCGACACAGGCCTCAAGTACTGAATGACTCTTCATTTCATGTTTCAGATTGGAATAGGCAATGTAAATTCTCTCGATAAGTCTGAAAGAGAAATGAGAATGTTAACATTTGTCGCATGCCGTGTAACATTCCGTTAGGTTGTCTTCTGTTTATGGCCTGTTAGTGGTGTGTTTTAAAATATCTGATGTTAAGCATAAGTTTTCCTTTCTGTTTATGTTTTCGCTAAAACTTCGTCGTTGCCCATGCTATCTTCAGCATCCTTCTGTAGAACCACATTTCTGTTGCTTAAAGTCCCTTCTTCATCTTTGAGGAGATTGTTTAGCATTCGCTGCCAAACAGAAGGACAGATATCAAGTAACAGTTCAGTACTCTTTTCTTTTTCCAATGAAATTTTTCTGTCTCTTAACTGCTTTAAATATTTCTCATAGATGTTCAGGTCATGGTGTTCGCAGCATCCGGTTTCTCAGTATAGGTGTCCTTTTCGTTTCTTTTTTAAGCTCCCTCATTTTTATTGAATAAGATTTATACTCGACATTAAATAACCCTCAAAATGTTGATGTGTCGTTAGATTAGCCAACTTAACCTAACCTATACTCTGAGGATCAAATAAAAACAATTATTCACATGTATTAAATGCAATTTTGATCCATATGTGTGGTTGGGTGAGTACACGTGTATGTCTGTGTAGAGTATGTCAAGTGTTTGATTTACTGATTTTTTATGGGTTATCAACCCTTTGCAGGCTATTTAAAACTGAAACATTTCGGGTATAAATTGTGTGCAAATATTGCATTAACGATTTTTAGGAGACAATAAAGATTTTTTTAAAGGCATGTTTTACAATTCAACCCCTTAGTTGGGGGAGAATAGTCGTATTTATACCTTATTCATCCCAAAGGGTATTTGCGTTTAAGTGAATGTAACGGACTCGATTGAAATTCGAACCCTGATCTCCGATTTCTCATACCTAGTCGGTATCCATTACACAACCCACACATCCACAGATGTCACTGGATCTAACCAACGCCTTTATCCACTGTGCTTTTATCCACTTTATCCTCAAGGACACATGGCACAGTGTATAAAGGCGTTGGTTAGATCCAGTGACAGGATCCAAAGAGTGTGAGTTCGGTACCTGGTTAAGGCAGTGGAGAACTTGGAGAAGGGAATTAACAGGAGATAACTGATAATCGACACCCATTAAATATGGCATGTGGAACTAGAACAGTCTACCCCAGTGAGCGAACTAAAGAGTTCAGTTCGACATTCCAACCACCTGAAGAAGTCCGGAGCGTACAACAGCTGAAACGTTGTAATAAATATGGCGACAAAGATGTGGACAATAGTCCGAATAATGTAAATAGTGTTCATAATACCTCATCTCAGAAATATAGACTGATAGTGAAAGGCCGAAACGTTGTAATAAATATGGCGACAAATATGTGGACAATAGTCCGAATAA